CTCGCCGCCAGTGTTCCCAACCGTCCCGGGCGTCCCGGGCATGGTGAATAATGAGGCAGAGCATGGCGTCCGTCTTTGATAAAAACTGCCCTCCGAGGGGTTGACACCCGGGCCCGGGAGTCTTAATTCAAATGGCATCTTCCGGCCGTCATCTGTATAGCCCGGCCGTCATTCGCAGGGATTCGCAGGGCCCGGCTCTCATCTGCAGGTCTATTTTTAAGTGAGACACCTATAGGACCCGGCCGGCCGCCCCGGGCAGAGGTTAGGACGGACCACAAGACGGGCGTCCTGTTATGAGACCCTGGGATTGGATAGATAGGATAAGAGTTTGAGAGAAGAATAAAGTTTCTGAGATGATTGGTGTGTATTCTTCGCCCCTACTTCTTCTATCTATGGTTAAGAGGCAGTTTATATAGAACAGTCAGTCTCCTATCCACTTGCACAAGATCTCCCCAAGTTGCCCAATCCTTCTCCGAGGTTGGTGGTTATTCCAGGTAAGCTGCTCCGAGGTATAGCCGAATGGCCGAGCACGACCGAAGACCTCCGAACACTACCCACTAGTATCCTCCTGTCCGTTGCATCTCTGAAACCTACAATACAACAAATAAGAACAACCTAGCAGGGAAAATCTCTGCTGGTGCGAAACTTCTGTACCATCCACCAAAACACCAACGCCAAACCACAGGAGCACCGGTGGTTTTCAACACGTCTGTCCAGGGCAGAGTTCCAGGAACCGGCGCCCGTCCCGTCCGAAGCTAAGGAGGGACGGACTGGACGCTTGGGAACACTACTCGCCGCAGCTTTTTCCTAGGCCCGGGTGAGTTCTTCGGTCCACGATCTCCACCAGCTGCGGCACCGCCCCCGCAAACACTATAGCCCACGCCAATGGGTGGGTGGACACTGCGGTTGAACAAAGAATTAAGTCTGTTAACAACCTTTATGCGAGAAAGGAAAGAAAAACCCCTGAAATTGGCTTGACAAACAAATGATCTTGGAGAAAATAATTGAATCAAAAATGTTGGTGCTTGTTGGTGCTTGTTTAGGGGTCGATTGGTGGTTGGGAGGTGGGAGAGGGAAATTGTTGTAAATCAGCGGCACTCCAACTAAACCCTTTGCCTATCGATTGAGACCAGAAGGACCGGAGATTTTCCCGGAGGTGTCCAAAGTTTTTAATGCTTAGAAACAAGTTGATAAGCAAGATGGAAGGGTCTGGAGGTTACTGCAGATGGGTGTATTATAGATTGATGTTGCAGGGCAAGGAAAGGAAATACACGAGGGGGCAAGAGGGAAAGGAAATGGTCAACAAAGCGGGGCAGAGCGAAGTCGCTAGAATTGTGAAGAAGTAAAAAAAGGGGTAACCAAAACGAAAAGGTAGGATCATGTAGATGACAAAGGAGACCGGTCTGTTTAGAAGAAGCTATCATATGGATGTATATATAGCCTGATGTTCGAGAGGTAGTGGGGTAGTAAGAAGAATAAAAGGATGCAGCAGCCATTGGAGAGAAAGCCAGAATCAAGTTACGGCCGACAGTCAAAAGACAAAAGCTTCCAGTGCGCAGAAGAGACAATACACGATATCAATTTATCTTAGAAATGTGGGACAAGAGAGACTTCATCTTTGTGCTCTCCTCCATACATTTCTCTTGCGATTACGAGTCCATCGAGACTACAACCGGGGGACCGCGAGTGCTAATGACAATGTAACTTGAATCCTGGCCTGGGCTCCTGCGAACCCACGTTACTGGTTTCTTACATAGTTCAAGATTGCCATTACTTGCACCTCTTTTTACAATATGGCAGAATTCTGCTACGCATTGGTAGCTAAGATAATCATTAGTATAAGGTACCTTTTAAAGGAAACATGCAAGTATGAGTATTCGTATCTTGAGTGTTGGATCCTCGGATGATGCGCAATTTGTTATTGCACAACATATCACTCGCATTAATTAACATTTATTTTCGCCTATTCAGAAAAGCTAAGGGCCTGTTTGGCGGGAACGGAACCGTTCCGTTCCCCCATACAAATGACCGTTTCCTTCCGTTCTGAAGATGCCAAGACAACCATTTCCCCAGCAAAAATCATCAACGAACGGAACGGTCGACCCGCCTACCGTTCCCGCCAAACAGGCCTTAAGACATGGTGTGAAAGAATGTCAGATCCGATCCAGCCATACTTTGCCCTAAGCTATCTGGCTACCACGTCAGGCCCTTTGTTTATGGGTTCTAGCCACCAATGTATCGCGGAGGGTTAGGGTTGAGGAGTTTCCTGACGCCAATGCAACTCGATTTTGACGTGATAAGCCTAGGGGTAGTAGGTCTTAGAAGTACTGTTCATACGGGAACTATCATAACTCTAGGAAACCCATGATACCACACAGCCGGAGAATGCTTTACTTTTCAAATATTTCACTCTAGCATCCTAGAAATAAGTCTTTAAGCCTCAAACGCAATATTTTATCGAAATGCTGATCTAAAGTACGGGTACAAAAAGAACCGTCCAGCAACGCAACGGCAACCCCACTACCACTATAAATTTACTACCCCTACAACCACAACTACTTGAAATAAACTGAAAATATGTGTAGACATACAATAAATATAAGAAAAGCTATATGTAAAATTAGAAAACAAAAAAATCAATACTTGGTATACCATCCCCTTGCATCTATGACAGCAGCAACTCTACTAGGCATAGACTCCCACAACCTTTCCAGAAAATCCCCTTCAATATCCTGAGTCCAAACCTGATTTAGAGCTACTGCTAGATGTTTTCTAACAGTTTCTGGGCCCCCCTTGGTCTTGTGGATGTTGGGAAAGTGCTGGTGTAGCTTTTCCTTCATCCTCTTCCAACAGTGCTCAATAGGATTGAGGTCAGGAGAATTGGCTGGCCATTCCATAACCTGTATGTTGTTTTCCTCAAACCAAGCCATGGTATCTCTTGCAGTATGTATCCTTGCACCATCCTGCTGAAAGATAGGATCCCCAACTGTATCCTCCACCTCCTGCCAGACATCAACTAAACCATCCTCCAAAAC